CTAGCATTATTCATTTGCAACATTCATGAACGGTTTCATCAGGAAATACAATTTCTGAAATTCAAAATTTCGGATTCTAGGGAAACACACTTACAATTAGTGTGATATTATTATGATACTTTGCACGTTTATTCTTCAGAATGAACCCATTGAATTTGTGATGCAAAACTTGAATGATAAATCGCTGAGATGATAGCGCTGATTGAACCTCAAAGCAATCGAAATATTTGTTGTGTATTTCGAGGGCACATTAAGTACACCCACCTACCTGCCTTAGCTGAACGCATTGATCAAAACTTCATTGTAATTCGTAATCGAAATCGCATGTTAAGAGTGAGGAACAAGTGAATTAACGCGAGATTGCCGTGCGATAATAGAAATTATGACGAATGCGCACATTTTCATGATATGCATTTCAAATAAAGAGATCGTTGATGTATCGCACTTGATGAGACATACCCTTCGCAAAGTCCTGAATGAATAATCCCTTATTGTTGAAATTTTCCATGAAATTTATGTTCTTATGGCATAGTTTTGATCCAATATTTTCCTTCGAATTGTGCCAAGGCATCTAACATCGAAAAGTTGAACTTGAAAGGTAAAATATATCTGTGNATCATTTTTAAGAAATCAAAGAATACAATCCAAGAAGACGAAATTCCTCGAAGGTATCGTTAACATTCGACTCAGCCAGAAGTCGATCAGGAAGCACGGGCAGTGGCCGTAGCAATGGACGCACGAGGCACCCGGTAGCAATCCGTAATCGACAGCTTATTCAGGTGAATAATGACCGCTTAATTTCATCGTGTAGTGAAAAATTTCTGAAATATCGATAATTTTCTGTGGCACGCACTCTTATTCACTGAGATTTATGCTAAACTTTTTCCGGCTTGAGATACGATGAATTTACTGGATTTTTCAGTTGGAAGTTCGTGGAAAATTTTGTTGAAGAATATTTGATATCCTTAGGGATCAGTTTTTTATTCATCAAAAATCGCACTCTTACAGTTAGACATATTCGTCACTGGTTACGAAGATGAATGAATTCCTTTTTTCAAAATATTTCTCGATACCCATGTTCAAGATGATTATCTGAGTTTTTAAGGGATGTTTTCAAAGTCCTCACGAAATACTGGGCAAGAAGATTATGAAACGCGCTTGTGAGAGACGCTGTGATTTTGGCCAATTTTACGCAAAATTAGATGCCGAACAGAAGGAAACAATCGAAGAAAATATCAAAACGTTGTTGAAGAAAGCCGTCGCGAACATTGACTTCATCGATGAAGTAATTTTTCTCATGTGATATCTTGAAATTTCGTTGAACTTTCGAATGCAAGGAGTTCGGAAAATCTCAGAAAAACTCCTTAAAAGGTTGCAAGCTGGAATCGATATGACTTCATCTGAACGTTTTGATTCGCAGTCAAATTTCTGCATTTACTGAGATCGAAAACTAAAAATAAATGCAGGCTAAACGAACTCGAAAGTGCAGTGTGAAAATGATGTACGTATATTTCAGTGCTATTTAGAGCCATTGAATTTCCATGACTGACTAGGTTTATGAGCTTTTTNAATGATTTCTAAACATCTGTATTTGCAGGTGCAACGACTCGCTGAAGACTTCGGCGGTAGGCATGTGCAATATCGCACTCAAGGATTCAAGCCAGATTTCTTTGCTGCATGTGCAGATGCAACAATAACCGAATGTGCCTTTCTCGACAATGCCGTCCATCCTGCTCATCAAACATTGGACGCTTTCTCGACGTTTATCACGATGGTTTGTTCTTTGCATTGCTTGATCGCTCTGTTAGTTTGTTGGTCATATCAAATGTCACTCATCTAATCGTTTGTATGCATCGTTCGTTCATTTTCTATGAATATTCCTCTTTTTTTTTCTTTGATGAGTGATTTTATTGAAGGTATTCTCATCAGTTCGTGATGGATTCTATGCAGAAATGCGTCGGGTGAGACGAGCCTCGAATAGCTTCAGTACAGGCTCTAATTCATCATCACAACGCAAGAAATTCTCAGTGGATTTGACCGCTGAAATGTCACCGAGGTAGGTCGCATGATGATACAACTACACGCCCAGTATACAGTTTCAGTTGTATGTGAATTGTTCAGTGACCAAGCATTTTGTCAAGCTCTCGTTACATTATAAAGCGTAGTAATTACGTACGCCTTCATCGTGGTGATTTTCCAGATTTGCATTCCACGCTATCGATTTGCAGCCGAAGAAAAAAGTTTTGTGGCCACTCCAATGATTGCTTATTCAATAATTCCTGTGAGCATCAAGCAGTCACATAATACTGTCCCTGAGCTTTTGCGTTCGAGCAAAGAAACTCATGAAAAAATTCTAAATGAAGTTCTTACCAAAGTGAAATTTCTGTTGGAATTTTCGCAGAGAATGATGGTATTTAATGTTGCTATAGCGTATTGCTTCGCAGAAAAACTTCCATTCTTTCCACGAACATTTTACATTAAATAAATTTGCGTTTGAATAGAACCAGAGCAGATAAATGCGATTTCAAAATGGGCAAGAGAAGAACTGAAATACTCCAAAATTGGAAACCAACTTTGCTTCCATTGAAATTGGAAACCAACTTTTTCACATTCCATTCACAATTAAATTTCCACATTTTCGCTCAAATACTGAAGTTTCATTCCATAGGGATACAATTACCACTTGAACACCGCTTGTAAAACGTCAAAATCAAAATGCTGAACGATTATAAGGATAGAAAATTCTACGAATGCATGAGAACGAAGTGAGCAAAACAAATTCATGAGGGACGAAATTGAATATGGGGGAATATACGAGTTTTGCATGGTTGTCCAAATCAAATTAAACTCTATCGCTTTCTGTGTCTTAACTAAATTTAATCTCATGCAACCGAACGCTTTGCATCTGCAAGTCCCTGTATAAAATTTAGCATTCAGTTGGGCGGAATGTGACTTTGGAAGGGGGGATTTCCAATTTCAGCTGATGGTTTAATATCACATTTCGGAAGATGAGGACGGCTTGATAGTACCGTTTCCGCATTGAACATCATTCAGCAGCTATCAATATTGAGCGCAAAAGTTAACGGGCTGATTTGGGTTTTCATAGGACGGAGTGCCTGTCTGCGTAATCGTTTCATGAGCGAGCACATCCCTTTATATTTGAAATGGGTGTTCTCCACTTGTTCAGCAATATTGCCAATTACAGATCGGCCAGTCCAGGAGCAGATTCACACAGTTCAGATGAAAGTTATCCAGGAGTGGTTGCGGTGGCTGAAAACAATGTCTTTCTTAAACCTCCTCAACGCGGATCAATTATATCCACAAGATCTGGCTGATGGAAGCCGTCCTCAAATCGCTATAAATTGGCAGTTGGCTGTTTGTCGACCAAACAGCTGGAAATTTAACAGAATCACCACTCATACGGTCTCTGACACTGTTAACTGCTTTGGTGTTCGAAGCAGTTTCGAGCGAACAAAAACGAATCTGTTTCGGTTCTGACTTGTTCTCGAATCGCTCGCTGATTATACGAATTCATTAGTTGAATGATTTTGTGTGCTGAGACAGGCACATTATAATTTATTTTCTGACCTCCCATATTGTAATATATTTTGGATTATATCGAATCATAGAAAAATACTGAGAATGTGATTTCACCAAAAACAATTTATGTTTTCGTTGAGAAGTTAATCATTTGTTGTATTACGGTAAAAACAAATGGCATTTGCTGTTGTTGTGTATTCTCTCTTTTTTGAGATGCTCAGAAATCAGTCAGAAGCAAGCAAGCACAGAAATGCTTTAAGATTTCCGTATTGCTTTCTTGAGGATCATTTCATTTTATTATCATCGAAATGTTCTCACAATTTAAATCTCTGAAGAAGTTTACATCGTTTGCAATGAATAATTCAGAATGCTAAACTATTAGTGAATGTATTTTGGATTATTCTACTGCTCTTAGTGAGCTATAAAGGAGAATTTTTTCCAATATTGTTCCTCTGAAATGTTGTATATGTTGCCTTCAACACAATTGCTCTAATGGCTGATTAAAAGGACATCCTTTAGTGTATTTAAGTATTCTTTTAGAACGCTTATTGTAAACTACTGAATGTGTCTGTAAAATGAAGTATAATTTGCCATGCTTTTTTAACGATTATTCTGATTGTTGTTCAACATCATTGAATTCAGACCCGTAATGAAACAAATGAAAGAAATGGCATCCTGCTATCTGAGAAGGCGTTATTTGTCGAACGACGAAGAATTGTCCTGACTCCTTGAAGAAAATTACCAAAAAATAGGCAAAATTGCTCCGACTGAACGAAGTCTAATCGTAAGTCATTTCA